CAGCTTCTTGTTTTCTACACCCATTTAATCTTCTTTAACTGTGATCTGGCCACTGGCTTCAGAGAAATTGGTGCCTTTCACAAAATCGGATGGCAGTTTTGTTCCGTTTTTATTCTCCCACCTTTTGAATGTACACCCCTCCTAAAGACTGTGTCACTTGAAGTGGGAAAGTTGAAGAATGTGTATCATTGAATAGCTTCTGGGAAGACTCAGTACCAGGAATTTACAGCCTGTAAACACCGTTTAACTCTTGAGGGATGCATTGGAGAAAAGATCATATTGATCTGCTTCTACTGGTGGAAATGATTAAAGGCAAACTGCCACTATTCCTTAAGCTTCTTGGCTCAGATCCTTGTTTTTGATGATACCGACTTGATAGCGTTGGCTGTTTTATTCCCCTTACTGGGAAGTACAAGTTTTGGCAGGCTGTGAAGTGTAATTGTCTGTCCTAAAAGAAAAGTACACAGCAGTGCAAGAATGGAAACCTTGCAGATTGCTCTCTGCTAGTTTTCAGAGAAGCCTTGAGGGAATTCTGATCCTGGGACCCAGATTACAAGGAGTAGGCACTTATGAAAATTGGTCATGTGCTGTCCTTTGCCAGGGCAAAGTAAGTTTCATTTAACAAGTTGGCTGATTATCTCTGCTGTGCTGTGGAGATGTTTTTTCTGGACTAGTCACAGTGATGCGGAGGGCTCATTCTGAAAAGCAACAAGTGGTGGTCCGTTTGAAACTGTAAAATGGGACTCGGAACATACTCTAGCTGCGATGAAGGAACCATTTGTTAGTTTTGCTGGCTCTGGGAGGCATAGCTGTGTGAAGTAGCTTTTACTACCAATGGCTTTGTTAGCAACTGCCTTGCAGAATCTTGGGGCATGTGTTGGTGCCTTTAATAGTCATAGTATTGAGTGTTCCACTGCAATAGCACTTGTGGCTAGCAGCATCAGGGTGTGCATGTGCATCTAGGCTAGAGAAGCTGTTTCACCACGCCTCAACTCCTCCCTTTGATGATAGTTAATCTCACTTGGCACTCCATATGAGTAAAAGCTGCTTAATGCTCTGAAGATACACTGCAACTGGATTAAACGTAGAAGTAACAGGCTGCTGTAGTTAAAGGATTCAGTGAGAGAGCATATTAATAGCAAGGCTGCTGTTTGCTTGCAGAGCTTCATGGAACTTCTTCGGCCAGGGCGACTTATTTTATATTGTTAACTTGTTTTATATTTTTATTGTATAATATTTTAATTGATATATTTGTGAGCTGCCCCGAGGCGTCGGCAAATGGGGTGGCATAGAAATTTTATAAATAAATTAACTAACTAACTAACTTGCATAGTTCCTTTAGTCAAAAAACTTGTCTATCAGATCTCTCCTGGTACTGCTGCTGTGTTGGAGATACAGAAGAAATAATGGCAGAACAGCAGAAACTAAAGTTGGGATCTGCATGCCATGCCTGTGTCCATGCTATGAAGCCAAGTAGGACTTTAAGAAGGCTGAAGGTGCATGCTTCCCACACCTTCACAGAGATATAGAACATATGGAAAACTTAGGATGAATTTAGAACTCAGCTCACTAGAGGAATCCAGAATACAAGCTGCATAAGACACCCCCTCCCCCAGGTTTTGACAGGCAGAATAAACTTGATCTGTCCCCCGTTCCCCATTTTTTAAAATGAGGCAGAAACCTAGTGGTAAACTCCTTATTTCCAAACCAACTAATGGCTATCCAGGTAGAGTTGCTGTCTTTAATTTTGCATAAAGCATAGTTGATGACAAATTTTGAAGGGTCCTATTCAAGTAAACATTTTCAGGAACTTAAGGGTTCTTAAAACAAGATTTAGCAAAATGTGGCAAGAGTTAACAAAATGTCCTAAGTCTGGGGTAGGGATGGACTGGTTTGCAGGTATCAATTCCTTTGTCATTTGAGGCATGCATGTGAACAGGGTTTGTACATTGATATGTGAGACCTCCTGGGTATAGTTCTCCAGTGGAATGTCAGCAAGGATGGAGGAAGTCCAATAGGCAGTAGAATTGTAATCTCTTTTGGTCTAATTGGAAGGTAGTGAGGCATGCAGATTTAAGTCCTCCTGGGACATAGATGACTTTAATAATCCTGTTTATATGGTGTACATGTCAAGAAACTGGACAAACTCTGTTCAGCATTCATTTTCAGATATGAAGGAAAGTACCCATTGTTTCTTATGCTCATCAAGAAGTGCTGTGATTCTGAGTGAGCCAGATGTCTTGTTGCATTTGAATGTACTTGGTAGAAACTCAAATGGAATAATTTACCCAGGAGTATGCAGGAAGCACATTCTAGAAGCTACTCTGTGGTAAATTAAAGAACAGGTGTGTTTCAAACAAGCAAAGTAAGGAGTCTGGTCTAGAAGGTTAGACTTAAGGCATGGCATAGCTTGCTGTCCCTGGGAATTGTGGCCTAGGCCCCAGGTGGGAAGGAGTTTCAGAAAGAATGGTATGTAGCTAGTGGATAGAGCTATCCACCCTGTCAGGGCTGATTGGCTGTTCTCATGTCCTTTCTAATTCTTCTGTAGATGAAGATTTCACTGCTGAATCCAGTAGTCCCTCCTCTAAAAGGGCTTGCATTAGTTACTCATGAGTAAACTCTTGCATTAGTTACTCATGAGTGACTGAATGACTAGTTCAAGGCAGAAATGGGCTGCTGGATTACAGTTGTGTCTAAGGAGTTAGCAGCTAACTTACTGGCATCATTTTGAGTCAGATCCTTGTTGGGGCTGGGATGAAGTGCCCCATTCAGTCCCTAAAACACATCTATGTTCTTATAAATAGGTGGTTTGATTTGCTATTGCAAGAACCCAAGTAGCACTGTGCATGTCTGCTTCTAGTCTTGCCCATCCTCTGATTTGTTCTCTCTCCCTTGCTTCCTTCCCCTCCCTCAAACACACACCCTCTTTTCCTTTCAGTCATTTTCTGGTTGGGTTTCCTTGGTGTTTCAAGCCTCTTGTCAGCGAAAGACAAGCACAAAGGAAAGTTCTGTTCGTGACTCATTGCACTTAGTGCACTCTGAGTAGGCATATAGGTGTGTCCCAGCAGTTAACACCTGCTTGCTTCTACCTACCCCATAAGGAGGACAAAAGCTGGTCACAGTATATGAGGTCATGATTGACACCTAGGCATACACCCCAAATTCTGTGGCAACAAGGACCACATTCTGCAAGCAGAACATGTCCTGTTTGTATCCTGTTTATATGAGTTCCTTCTATACAGAGTCTCTGATTCCTGCTGTACTGGCAGATACGTAGCCTGGCAATAAGCAACTGCAGGGTACTGTCCTGCCTGATCGTTTGGTGTTTCTGCAGCTCTTGATCACTTTTGTAACTGGTGCTGAGCAACTTAACTGTATTCTATAAAATCAAACTCATGAGACTGTACTTTAGTACAAAGGTGTCGTAGAAGGGTTATCCGACTCTGTAATTTGCTTCCCTCCTTATGAATGCTAATGACCTGTATCCCATGTTAGTCTGACCTGGGTCCCATTTATTTCAGTGAATCTATTCAAAGTACAGCTAACACTGGATACAAGCCTCTGGTTTATCCAGCTGGTGCTGCAGCCTTTTGAACTCTGTGACAGGACCACAACTTTTCCTGCACCGGGTTAGATTTGTAGCTTTTTTAAATTTGTCCTCAGCAAGTTCTCATCTTTAATAACCAGATCCTCCTATTAAGTTAGTGAATTAAAAGGTACTTTACAAACAAAAAATGCCAGCTTCTCTGTCCACACAAATGATGATTGTGCTTCCAGCTGCTAAGACAAGTCCCAAATCAGCAAAAGACCTAATGATTCTGAGTGAGTTGCCTTCAGATTTAGGGCTGGTCCTCCTGTTACCCAAGGTGTGTGGGACTCCAGGGGGAAGCAGTCTTATCTCGGAGCAGCAGTGCATGCTGCCCCTGGCTCTTTGAAGGTGGAGGGTAAATGGGCTCTGATAAAATCATGCTGCTTGACATCTGAACCTCAGCAAAGTCACTTTGGCTTTTATGTGCTGTAGAGCAGCTTATCTGTTGCTGCTGGTGCTGTGCTAATGCCATATCTGTGGCAGCATTAGGCTCCAGCATTGAGGTCTCGATTTAATTTTCAAAGGGCAGCTGCTGAGTTGGCTTTTTAAATTGTATGTTCTTGATTGAGCACTTAATTCAAGTGAGTGAGTATTTATTACAAAAAAAAAATCCTTTGATCCTCTGTCAGCAGAATTTTCAGATGGGGAAGCAAACAAATCTATCGGTCTAACACTTGTATAATGGTGGTGTTTGAATGTGGAGGTATCTGGGAAGCAAACAGTGCTGCTTTTAGTATGGCTGACTTGAGGCATCAGGACTGTGGGGGAAGATGGGCCAGACTTGCACCCTGCCCACCAAGAGCATGAAGCTGTATGCAAGACCTTTAATGCAGAGTGGCTCCTGCCAGCTTCTCACTTGGAGTGGGGCCTGCCTCTTTAACGGACTGTTGTAAGCTACCCAGGTTGGGCATTATAGAAATGAAATAAATGTGAAAGTTGATACTGGCAGAAACAGTATCACTTAGAAGACACTGCACCACCTAGATGAGACCAGAGACGCATCTGATCTAGCATTCTATCCCCACATGCAGCTAACTAGTTGCCCTTGAGAAGCCCTCAAGCAGGACATGAGTGCCATAGAAATGTTGTCTCTGAGCTTTCACAGTGGCACATGGTACTTTGGGGTGATGCCCTGGAAACAGTTTTCTCTGAAACTTAATCATTGAGCATGTTTGCATGACACCATAATACAGCATGCACTGTTGGTTGGGGCAGTGCTACAGACCCTCTTCCCGTGTTGCTGTTTTCCAGTGGAAAACCTTCTGTTCCCTATTCTTTGGGAGGTTTATACACAACTGATAGAAGAACAAGCTATGGAAGCTATTATCTCAGCACTTCTCCTGTCTCCAAACAACTTGCTGGCCTGTAGGCTCAAGACTGTTCTTCTCTAATTATGCTTCTCCTTTCTTAGGTGAGAGAGACGGAGACCATGGGCCCACAACTGTACACTGAAGAATTTTCCTCAGGAGATTTGCCAGATGATGAGGACTCAAGGCCTGACTTCATCATTGAGGATGAAGATAGTTTCTCAGGTTCAGGAGATGAAGAAGGTATATCTTGCTCTGAGCATCCTTTAGATCTGCGGCAAATGGTCTTTTGCATGTATAAATCTATGAGAATGATGCCTTAGTTTGTCACAGACCACAGTTGATAAACCTGAGTCTACACCTCAAATTGTTAAGTACCATCCGGCTAGCTTAGGCCTGAGGTGATAGCATGAATTCCTTGGGTTTCAGTCTGGGGGTATATTTGAGCAAAATTGCCCCTAGACCTGGGGTGAGTGCAGCAGATGGAATTGGATGGTTGCTTCCCATTCTGGTTCACCTGCCTAAGTTCTTTTCTTTCTTTCGCAAAAGCCCAACAACAGGGAAGGGGGTGTCCTGTGTTGTCTGAAACAACCAGTTGTAGAAAGCAGTTCCTTATTAATTTGCAGCTATTGGACTCTGACTTAAGGAATCTTACTAACTTGTGGTTAGGCTCCTCCCCCTATTCAGATTATATTTGAGGGATACTTTTTTCCTGACATCCCACCCTAATGTCAGTATGTTACGGAAGTCCTGCTGTTTTCTGCTTCTCTGGTTACCACCTGTAAGATAGTCCACACTCTTGTGTCTGTCTTCCCATGCTTTCAGCACAAGCTTCCTCCAACAACTTGTTGTGCTCATGCACTTTGAATTCTCAAGAAAAACAAGCTTTGAAATTAGCACACAGCAAGTTGAGACAGATCTGGTGGTTTGCATGAGCTAATTATCCTCAAGGAATGGGTGTTTGCCAGAAAGGCAGCTCATCTTAAAAGCAAGTCAAACTGCATGCTGTGTGGACTTGAAATGCAAGTCCTTGTAACTGGCTGCAAAATTCTCTAGGTCACCACTAAGTAGAGATACTAAGTAGAGGTGTGAATGAGAGGTGTGTATGCAAGAGAAGCCTGTATGCTGTGTAATGCAGATGAGCCAAACCTACTCAAGAGTGCCCAGAACAAGTTAATGACTATAATCTGCTAAACTTTGCAATTCTCAATAGTGATTTTCTTTCTGTGCCATGCAGGTTATACAGACAATGATAGTGCATTGACTTCAGCCCCTGATAATCCTATGGTAGGTATTTACAGGTTCCTTCCATACCTCTGGTTATTTGAATGCAGAGATGGGCAACTCCCGGTTGCCTTGCCCTTCAACTAATATGAGCCCTAGTCAGCATAGCCAGTGGAAAAAGGTTATGGGAGAGGTATGTCAAAACATCTGAAGGCCACTGTTTTAATTAGATGCTTTACTGATAGATGTTTTTGATGGCATTTTGTGAGCTGCTTTGGGATTTTAAAAAGATTAAAAGGGGCATTTCCTGGAATAAATAGCTAAATAAAATTATTTTCTTCCTTAAGTGATGTACCCATTCAGTTGACAATGTGCTATTGAGGATTTACTGTCTACATTCGTATTTCTGAAAAAAAGTCACATGTAAATTATCCTTACCAAAATATATTATCAGTCCTCTCCAGTAGTTTTTAAAATTGCAAATGAAAGGTGGCAATAGATTTAGGTATACATTGGCACATGCTTCTCATGGGCATGCACCTGGATTTTTAAAAAGGTGTTTTCTACAAGGTAAATAGTGAAATGAGATGTGTTTTATGAGCAAACAGCATGTTAGGAGCACTTGACAGTTCTATCAGGCCATGTAATGCAATGCAGTGTTAATGGCTCTCCCATACAAACCTCATGTGCTGCCTACTATTTATTCTAGTGCCAAACTGTTCTGCCTCTGGTCCAGTAAGTTTTGACTCACAACCTCTAGACAGGAATACTTGGAGTGAGGTGAAGAGATACTGACTCGTCAAATGGACTCCATAGTTCTGCCTTTTTGCCTTGAAGAAATAATGCCCTCCCCTGTGTACTAAAGACATGACTCGCTTTTTCTTTTTATTCAGGACTCTGTGGACAACTATATCCCTGATTCTAATAAAGGGATCAAGGATAAAATTGAGCCAGCTATAGTAGAAAATGAGATTATCCCCAACAGAGCTGGACCTCCTGAAGAAGACCTGTCCAACAAGATCCCAATGGCTAGCACAGCCAATGGCAGCATCTTTGAGAAGACAGAGGTTCTTGCAGGTAACCACCCTTTTGAGGAAGGATAGAGGTTCTACTCCCTTAAATGGAAAGAGGTCACGCTATCTGAAGAGAAGCCTCTTATCAGGAGCACAGAGAACAAATGTGACACATATAGAACTATTGCAAAAATAAGAGGAAAACAAAAGATGCAGGAGTGGTGTGGAGATGCTATCTGTTTAATTAGAGTTAAAGAGATGTTAAAACTGCATGGCTAAACCTGTAAACATTGGGTGTGTATATGAATAAACAAGCATATTTAAGAGGTATTAAATGCTTGTCATGTGAATTCACCCAACTGTAGTTAACAGTCTGGGGAATTTGATGTCGCATAATCTTATTTCGGCCCAGGGCTTTTTTTGTCATAGAACGCACCGGAATGGCGTTTCGGCACCTTTTTTTCCCAATGGATTTTATGAAGTGATTTTGAATCGCCTGTCGGCGTAGCAGGTCAGCAGCAAACATCATTCACATAGTGCCTGCGGGCTGCTTTTGTGTCTGCGCCACCCGGCTTGGGACGCTGCTCGGCTTGGGATTGGTGTGTGTGGTTGCGTGCTGAGTGCTTACTGCTGGCGGCGACGTGAGTTCCGGCACCTTTTTTTTTTTTTTTTTTTTTTACAAAAAAAGCACTGTTTCTGCCTAAAAGTAAGCAGTATATTCAGTTACCTGAACTGAAACCCCTGATCAAGTTTCTCCATGTGTCACTGCTGCCTCCACACCCAACTGTATAACAGCGGGTACAAAAAGTTGTAGAGAAAGCAACCCCGTGCAATGTCTGATCAGTGGTGAAAGATACGTGTGACTATCGGAACTGCAGACGCTGGGTCTGCCTTTCTGTTCGCCTGTCTTCCATGTGTTGGATGGAAGATCTCATAGTGACCTGTGCTTGTAGCTTCTCAATGTGGGATTTGTTCCCGCATACGATAGATTGTTCGTGCGTAACATATCCATCCTTTACTTTGCATACAGACTCCCAGGCATCCTGATCAATGCATGGGGCATCCAGAAAGTAGAATTAGTGGTTTCACCCTCATTTCTGCCTCCTAGTATGGTTTCTTTTCAGTTGTAGGAGAACATAGCCAAGTTCAGGTATGCAGACTGCATAGAAATTAAACACAAAAGGAGGGGGACTGCTGGAGGGGGACAGTCTATAGAGAAGAGTCTTCTGTATTTATGGAAGCCAGAATGCAGTTTTTCCAGCATCCTGGCTTATGAGGAAAAGCTCCACTGAAAAATGTCCCCTTCAGAGTGTCCCCCACCATGAGTGACAAAAAATGCACACAGAAGGGGTACGGCTAGAGAGTTCTCTCATATGTTTGCCTATTGTGGCCATATTTTCCATCCCAAGAATACTTACGCTGTTACTTTCCCTTCTACTCCTCACAGCTCTTATTGCAGGTGGAGCTGTTGGGTTGCTGTTTGCTGTCTTCCTGATCTTTTTCCTGGTCTATCGCATGAAGAAAAAGGATGAGGGCAGTTACGACCTTGGCAAGAAGCCAATCTATAAGAAAGCACCTACAAATGAATTCTACGCCTAGGGCTTGCCAGTGCCACTTACCCACTTGAAAGAAATGAACGTTGTAAAAATAAAAAATAAAAAGCATTTGGACCACGGACAAGAAGCTCTGAGCAAATGCTCTCTCGGATCTAATGTCAGTGATTTCTTACAAAATCTTTCCTTGTGACCATTCCCACTAACTTAGTAAGGATGCAAAGTTAAAGAAAAAGCAGAGTTGTGCAGAGGAAATCCCTGTATGGGGTAGACGTGTGTTCTAAAATGCAAAGCAAATTTGCCAAATTATATTTGGTTGGGTAAAAGTACTCTAACTTGCCTTGTTTTGTAGAAGGTGCAAATCCTGTCTGTAAGAAGACAGTTCTGCAGCAGTCCAGCCATTTAAGGCATTTTTTTTTCTATAAGGGACTTATTTATGAAATCTCCTACACTACAGTGTAAACTTAATCTTGGTTGAGAGCAAACCTGCTCCCTGCAGAGGTCAACGTTTCCATGTAATGTTTGGGTCTTTTTTTGAAGAATGGCTTCATGTGAAGAAATGATTCCTCCTTTTGGTATGGAAGGGGCTTAGCAATCTCCAAAAGCAAAACATGGGGTGATGTTGTCCACTTTCTAATGGAGTTTGAAAAAAAATACTTTTATTTTAGAAAAGGGTTTCATTAAAAATATAAGATGGTAGAAATACTGCCTGTCTATGTAAGATGGTAGAAAATACTGCTAAATTAAAAATGTAGTTCTTTGTGACTTAATTTTTCTTTTTGCTGGACATCTCTTTAGATGGCTAGCATTTCATATCACTTATTGCCTGAACTGAAGCAGCAGCTACAGTATGTTACAGCTTTCTAAGCTTCTATCGTAGGTTACTCGAGGCAAGTGAAAAGAGAATATTTATATATTTTTCCAGAATAAAAGCAAATATGTGTTTGATTTTTTTTAAATAGAACTATTTATAGTGTCTAAGATGGCTGCTCTGTTTTTGGTAACTTCTTTTTATATGTAAAACACTAATATAATGAAACTTCTGATGATTGTGAAAACTATTTAAGCTTTATTCTGTGTATTATATCCTGAAGGCAATAACTTCTGCTAGAATTAATGTTTATATGCAAAATCAGATTTTGAACATAACTAAAATATAACGGGAGGGGGGGAACAGGTTTTTTTAGCTTTGTAATATATTACCAGTACTATAGAGCTATATTTTTTCATTAAAGTGCACAGTTTTTATAAAAGAAAACCACATTGGGATTTGTGCAGCTTTCCTACATGGGTGGTGAATTACTTTCTCTGAATTGTGGAGTTTCTTTTAATGTCTTCCTGTTCTGAATCGCAGCTTGGCACATGCTTAGTTGATTGCTTTCCAGCAATAGATGCATCTGTTGGCTCAAAGGGTAACACAGAACACACGTTGAAAGCCCCCGGTACACATAGCGACTTCTCTCTGCAAGTCTCCCTTCTTAGGCAAACTCCAGGAGGCTGTAGATTTTGTTCTGACTTTGCAGACTTAGTTGAGCCTGCTGGCCTTGATAATCCTGAGTGGCAAATTGCTATTGCCCATAGAGATTCTTTCAGCTCAAGGTCTGAATTCCATTCCCAAGAAGTTCTCAGGTGCTGCATTCCAGTGTCGGGGCAGGGTGGGGGACGAAAAGGGCAGCCAAAATACCAAAAACAAAAGCGTAAAGCTTTTATTGTCAGTAGCCAAGTCTTGGAAGATTCACCTCAGACTTTCAGAATGGAGGGGAAGTGGCTTGAAAAGCCGGGAAACCAACAATTTGTGACTGGGGATAAAGGAGTGAGGCTACATGATGTGGCCTGTGGGGAACCCCAGAGGAACCCAATCTGGCCTGCAGGCTTAAGGTTCTGCACCAGGTTTTTACCAATTTGGCTTGCTATGATGACTGAAAAGGTTGGCATGTCTCTGGGGAGAGCCTTGATCATCCATGCTTATTCTAGAATGGTGTAAACCCTTTAGAGTGGTAAGTCAGTGCTGTCCAGAGCAGTGTGAGGCTGCCGGGTGCTGGCTCTAGTGTACTGGGGTAAGGGTGGGGAAGAGGCTCAGGGTCCTTAGGTTGCATCATGTAAGATGCTGCCTTGGTGCAGCCATCTGTGGAATGGGGCTGTGCAGTTTTGTATCACTGAGTTTACTAGGAAGTACTTAAGTCACTTCAGAGCCTTCTGATTGCGATGTGGCCCGATTGCATCAGCACTGACGTCTTGGCTGCTTCAATTTTTCTTTTTGAGAACTGCCCATTCAGCAGAGGGTAGAAGCATTGTTTGATTTAGCAGCTAGGGGATGGGACATCACACTGCACAACTTGATCCCTAATTACATGGGTCCCACTGGAATATTGAACTCTTTCACTATTTCCATCCTTTGAGTTAAAATGTGACATTGTCTTTGGCCCTCTTTAATGCCCTATTAGTAAAAGTTCCTGGCTCTACCAATATCTGATCCAAACAACTTAAGGATCACACTTCTATTTGTTACATTTGGTAGTTTATATTTTTGCATTCAGGCTATAATTTTATCATGTCCTTACGAGGTTGCTAGGCTGAACAGATGGGTGCAGTTAAGTCTGTGTGAAGGATTCCCATTTGCAATAAGCATAAACCTAACTTCTGGAACTGTTTAATTTTGGGGTGGATGAGAAGGAGTGTCCACTTAATGCTCTTCTGGAATTGCTTGGAAAGCATGAATCCCATGTCTTCCTCTGATTGCTTGGATTCCATTTCTTGTACATTTGCTTTTTTCACTGTCACTGATTTGATAAAATAAACTGGTACTTTCTAAAACTTGCTTTCTCTTGTATAATTGCACTCTGGCAATTAATAGTGGAGAGATTAGTTAACACTTTCCCCCTCTTAATATGGAGTAGATCCTAAAGTCTCTAACCTTGTGCTCTAAAGCAGCCCCTTCTGTGTTTAATGTCTGTTTTGAAAATAAAGTGGTGGTCTCTGTGTTCATGGGAAGTGCTCCTTCGTGCAAGGTGTAAAGATGATCCCTAAAAAATTTGACTCACTATCAGCTGTACAATATAATGAAATTAACTGCCTTTCCAAGTAAAAGCTTGTCTTCTGTTGTCTTTAATAGCTGTGAATCTGTTTAGAAATAATATATGTGCACCTCTGCACCCCCTTCCTTCCTTGAGAAATTGCTGTGATACATGCTGAGGTGGCAAATTGGATGGGGTGAGGTGAGACTCCCAGAAGTTGCCCACCCCATTTAATATTTATTTATTTAAAGCTTTTGTATGCCTTCCTATTATACAAAAATCCCAGGACAGCTTATAATATTTAAAAGAACAATTAAAACAACAATTTCTAATAATAGAACAAAACAATCACAAAACAGAGCGTTAAAAGTTGTTAAATTTTAAAATACTGTTTAAATAAAAAGGTTTTGGCCTGGCGCCGAAAAGAGTATAACTTTGGCACCAGGCGTACCTCTCTGGGAAGTACATTCCAGAGTCTGGGTGCCACAGCAGAGAAGGCCCTACTCCCAAGTTGATGATCTTTTTACCTCTCTTAGGGTTCCTGGTCCAGGGCTTCTGCAGATCTTAAGGGGTGTGAGGGCATATAAGGAAGGAATGTTGCAATTAATGCTGTGATTGGGTCCAGACAACATTATTATCCATACTCAAAGGGTTGAGTATAGGTTGTTGCTGAACTATGAGGTGTTGAAACATGGATTCTGGTGTAGTTTGTACTCATCCAAGATTGCAATCACATAGTTCACAACCCAACAACAAATCATGGGTTCTCTTCATGGGTTGTTCATGGTTAAGAAGACATGGTTTGTTCGTACAGTTGGATTCAGACAATACAATAACCCACATTTCAACAAGAATTTATGGTTTAACAACCACGCATACTCAACCCTTACACATGGGTTATTGTCTGAATCCAGTTACATTTGTGCAGGATTGGTTTCTGTGGCCCCTTGTACTTTTAATGGGAAGGGCCATAGTGATGAATGCACGAAAATGATGCCTGTGCTAGACGGATCGTAGGCCTGGCTGTATATGGGGCAGCTCCCAATGCTGCTTAAGCACTTAGGAGCGAAATGGTCACCGTAAAGAATGGGGAACTGTGGGTGGGTGGTTTATTTAGTGTCATTGACAAAGAGCATGTATGATGGAGCGAACTTAATTGTGGATGCCCCTGCTGGTGTTCTAATACTGTAAATGCTGATGAATGCTAATCCCATTGGCTACACTTGAACTAGTATTTGATAGGAGAAAGGGAGATGTGGGTGAATGGAATGCAAAAGCCTGAGTTCTGGAATGGGAGGCAAGGCAGATGTTGGGCACAAACAAGGCAGCCTCACTTCCTCCAGATAGGTAGGACTGCTCTCTCCCATCCTTCCAAGTCAATGGGCAGGAATGGCTGTTGCTTTCCTATCTTGGAAGCTTCACAGAGGTAGCTGCATCCTGAGGAGTAGCCACATTAATACGTTTTGGCAAAATAGTGGCTCCTTAGATGCTAGTCTCTTGTGAGGTCACAACATTGCTATTCTGAACAGAAGCTTTGATCAGATTTAGCAAGGATTATTTTACATTGACAGGAATGGTGGTTGAGCCCCTGGAAGCATCCGTGGGATGCTGGTAACATCAAAAGATGGTTTCTGTGTGGCAGCGTCCATGCCCACCTGTCAACTATCAGTGATCTGTCTCTTGGCTCTTCATACCAGTGAACAGCTGACCAGTTGCATTTTTAATAAATGCACCAATTTACAATTTATTTGTGGATTAATGTGAAGTGATGGTGCCGTACCACATACCCCAATATGTGAGGACAATGATCTGTATTAGTCCTCCAGTGGTGTGAATGTAGTGCTTTTTCTGAAATTGTACTGGAAAAATTGAGCTATGCTACCTCACTGCACCCTTTCTAAAAATGACATGGTTTTGAAGTGGGGAGGAGGGCTAGGCTTTGTGTGGAGGCAACTTGCAAACGGCATTGCTCAGCTTTGCACCTTAGGAGGTCTGGGAAAGCCAAGACCTTGCACTGGGAGTTTCTTTTTTGCATAAGCAGCTTCCAATTTAGGGTTGGCTCTGCTTTGGAAGGAAAGAAATGCTCTGAAGCACGAGGAAGGACGGTGAAACAGCAGCACAATGGCATGTTGCTTTGCAAAGAGAGCCCTGGTTAACTTGGCCTGTTGTGGAGGCATTTCAGTGAACCGAGACAGCCGTTTGTTGCCTTGCCACACACTCCAAAGAGCAAAGCTCTTTCAGCTCCATTTGCCGCTTTCCAAACTGCATGATGTAAGCTAACTGTACATAGCAGGCTTCATAGAAAAGGTTGCTTGTGCAACAGTTCTGCAGGATGATCTTTTGCCATCCCAGAGAGCTGGTGTGGTGCAGTGATTAAAAGTGCTGGACTGGGAATCGAGATCTGGGTTCTAATCCTCACTCGGCCATAAAACTTGCTAGTTAACTGACTCAACCTAATCAGCCTCATAGGGTTGTTGTTGGGAGGATAAGATGAAGAACCGCATAAGCCACTTTAGGTTCTTTGCAAGAGGAAGAAAGGTGGGATATACGTGCAGTGCAATAATTGTATGTGCAATAATATGCATGAATGTTTGGGGTAGGAGTGTTGAATCTCTTTTAGCCCAAGTGTCCAATTTCATTTCCAGAGACATTCTTGAAGGTTGTGTTGCAGTGGTGGGTGAAATTGAGCCAAAGAAGAAAGGGGCAGAGCCAAAATAACAGCAGCTTGGTAACTAAGCCCTGGAAGGAGTATTTCAACATTTTAGAAAGGAGGAAAAAAATCTTGTGTGAAATCACAATGCTTTGTAATGACCAATGAATGGGGGGAAAGGAGTGGGAACACGGAAAGGGAGCAAGGCTGCCTGAGGTTCTGCACCCATGTTGCATTAACTCAGTCATTTTTATGTGCTGGCAACTGGAACAGCATAGACCAGCTGTACTGAGACTAGAATGGCATGGCAAAATCCCATTGCAGCAAGGCATAACTCCATGATCTGTCCAGGTTTGCTGTAGGAAGCGATCTTAAAAGCCATCCTAAGTACAAAGTCATCCAGTCCTGCAATCAGGGAAAGAGGGGCACCAAAGCAAAGACCTTTGCCCTGGTTACCACTGTACCCCTACAAAGTGTGCTGCTATAGTTTAGTGGTGATGAGGGTTGGAACAGTGTAGGCTTGTGTGTGCTTTACTGAAAGTGTTGGATATCCACAAAAAGGGCAGGAAGTGTACCTAGCCTAGCACCCATCCAAAGCTTTGTTTACATTAATCAAGAGATAGGACAGAATTGGCCAAGGTCCCAGAGTCTAGGAAATGTGTTATCAAAAATTACATATGACCAAAAATGTCCCTTAATTTCCCCTCCTCCTCTTTACTCCACTTAGTTTCCTTACTTCTCCCCCTCCCCTCCCCTCCCCTTATTTACAACCTCTGACTTATATGGCATCATAAAAAACTGGCTAATTGTTACCCCTATCTTATCCCTGCTGCCTCTGCTCTAACATAGGTGGGTGAGAAAAGAGGAAGAATGGATTCAGACTCAGACAAAAGGGGCTTCTGCAGGTGTCCCCACCCTCTGAGGTCCAGGGGTGATTGTCATAAAAAGGGCTTTCTCAGTAGTTGAGTAATGCCCTAAATAGGGAGTTGTCTCCCTGGAAAGGTTCTCCTGTGCATAAGTACATGTACATCTCAAAAAAGATAAGGGTCTCTAATTATTTTCTTAAATGTTCAGAACCTTAGCAGTTGAAGAAATGTGGCACCTGTTATCCAGAGGCAGGGAACCTTCTAAATTATGTTGGACTCTAAACTCCCATCAGCCCCAGCCTGCATGGCCACTGGACAGGATTTCTGAGTGTTTTGTCAAACAACTTCTGCAGGGCAACAGGTTGTTCACTCCAATGGAATAAAGCTCAGTGGCCTTTTCTTTTGGGAAAAGCATCTCCAAGAATGAGGGCTCAGGACTTGGCGCACAGCAGCAGAGCGTGCAAATACATCTTGAGAGAACACAGGAATCAGCAAGACCAAGCGAGCTGCACTGAGACTTTCTTCAGCCAGGACTCCAGTGCAGCCTTCCTCACCCTGATGCTTTCTAGATGTTCTGGCCCACAATTCCAATGCTAACTAGGGATGATGGAAATGGGAGTCTAATTTAGAGCATTTGCAGCAGTAACATAGCCAGGTTTGCCAACACCACCTGATGATTTATGGTGATTAAAACAAAAAGAGATTAGGAGGAGCTCTGAAAATATCTCCACAATAGGGAAAGCAGTCATCAAAATGGCAAATGTCGCTCAGTGCAGCTAAGTATGAACTGAGCAAAAAATGCCAATTTCAAGGTATAAGCTTATGGGAGCTAGAGGCAATGACCTAGAAAGAGATGTTGGGGTTGCAGCAGGCCACTCAACCTGACATGTGGCTACTGTGGAAAAGGGAAGCTCCACGAAAAGCAAAATTAGGAAAGGAACTGAAAATAAAACTGTCCACATCATACTTCCCTTATATAAAACAATTGTGCAACCACAGAATATTATGCACAGTTCTGGCCAGTGCACCTAAAGAAAGTGCAGAGCTGAAAAAAGAGCAGAGAAGGGCAACTTCAGTGATCAAGGAGGTGGAGCAACTCCTGTATTAGGAAGTTACAACAGCCTTGGTAATCTTAAAAATGTACGTTTCTTATGTTTTTAACTTGTACGTGCTAACTCATGCTTAAAAGGCTAGAGCTAGGCTTTTCTTAATATTTTATTCCATTGGTTTTTCACATTTATTTATCATATATTTACATCCTGCCTCTTTTCCTTTCAAGGAACT